GACTCATTCATTGTCGTTCAATGATTTAGGGAAATTTATAACTTGTTCAAAGAAAAATAATTTTATTGAGTTGGTTGATCTGGTTAAATCGTTGGGGACCCTTGCCTTAACAATTTGCAGAATTTACCACCAAAGTTAGTGGTGCAGTGATAATACTCCATCCTTAACTAGAGATATAAGGTCTAAGCCTTGAGAATATAATCGTCTTTGGTATAGAGTATTTTAACCCAAAGTAAGATATCTCTGAGCGAATTCGAATTAGTAAGCTCCAAAGCGGATACCAAATATTGGGTGAAATTTGTTTTTAAAAAAATTATATTTGCATAGTTTAAATACATCAAAATGAAAGGCATAGAAAGGAGAAATCCCTACAAATTGGATAAAAGATCATATGTAGTATTATATTGGTTGAATTAAAGGATAAAGGTATAGTAGGGAAGATGAGTTGTGAAGAAAAAGTAGGAGATGTTAGAATCATGTCTTCCTCTTCCCCCATGTGAACTGTTTTGTAATAGCAACCCCTCTCTCCTCTTTCCTTTGTCCTCAAATCACAGTCACATGGAGACTATGTGAATGTAACTTTTACACAAAAATAAAATAAAATAAAGAATCCCCACCTCTTACATTAATTCAAGACTTCAACCAAATCCCAAACTATATACTTAGTAGTTTAATTTCTTGAATGTAGCTTCCTTGCACCATCGCATTAATTATTATGATTCTTTTCTTTTTCTTATTTTTTTAATAGATTAAAACTATAGGGAGACACTAATAATGATTAGTGATAAGTTCAAAAGCATGTTAAGTACCTCTGTCACGCAGAAACCTTGTCTACTGCATGTGCCTGCTATATATCAATACACTAGTATTATCTTCTGTTTTTAAAAAGTTTGAGATTGTTGATTTATTTATTTTAAAATTTTGATTCCCTCCTTGCCATGCATTATTAAACAAAAAATAGCCAACCCCTTGTTCAAGTTAACTTGAATATGACGTCTTTGCTCTCTTTTCCATCTTCTTTTTTCTTCCTGCTTCAGATAATAAAAAAAATAAATAGTCTTTGGATTAGCATATTCTTGGTTTCAAGTTCACGACTTTTGATATTCGAACGCGGTTCAGAGTCTTATGGGATTATCTCCTTTTCACCAAATTCATATTATCCCATTGTGGTATGAAAACAATGATGTTTCAAAACAAAAATTAAATTTTTATTCTTAATTAGAAGTCTCGAGTTACGGAACAAAATTCTTTCGTGGTAGGGAGCACTACAATCCTCCATAGTATATTTTTCACGGCGCGAATTTGAGTTAGTTGAGGTAGTTAAAAAAAGTTTCCGAATGAAAAAAAAAATTGGCATGTTTAATAAAGAGGTACAGAAGACCGAAGAATGTGCAGTTGTAAACCTCCTTCACTTGAAATTACAAAAACAAAATTTAATTTGAATTATGATGGAATTATTATATAACAAAGAATCAAGTTTATAAAAAAAGAGATAGTTGGGTCATGGCAATCCAAGAGGATTAATTAGCATGTGCAATCCAGAAGAAAATTGAGAAAGAAGATACCAAATGCTATATGCAACAAAGATTCTTTTGGCTAATATATTAGTCGATGTCGCTCTCCATAATTGTCTAAAAATCCTAATTTTTGGAGAGTTGGGAATCCCAAAAAATTCTCAAAGGGTCCGTACAGAAAAGGGGAGTAGGACACAAAGTAGCATTATTGCACGTGGGAGGAGCCAGCAGGACCCTACTTGTTCATTTCAATCAGAAATTATAACCAAACGGAGCAGCCCAAAGAGTTGAAGGACCATTCCAACAATTAACTTTTTACTGCAATTATATTTTTCTTTTAAACAAAAAGAGAGAGAATAGTTGAGGGAACTCAAAAAACATGGGGTGCAAATGTGTAAATACTAAAAGAGCGGGTCCTGCTTTAGCACATCTTCGTCAACTTATGGTAGACAATGTGATATACCACGGCCTACCACTCATAACTCCTGTTTTCTGAATTAAAGAAACTGAATTGTTTTTCTGAAGAAGATATGGATAGAGCAGATAACTGTTTTCTGGCAGCCCGGGGATTATTTATTGAAAAATGGAGGTCGAAAATGGACCTCGGTCGCTTCTTTTTACATCCTCAATTTTGATTTAATGACAGGAGTGTAACGCATGAAGTGTGGGTTAAATAGATGTTGCTTGCTCGAGAAGCAAAAAGTATTGCATAAATTGAAGCGTGTCAAATAACTTTTAGGTGTTAGCTCTAAAATATGTTCATCTTTTTTATAATTAGGTAGCCGAGCTCTGTTTTCAACATATTTTAGCCGTGTAATAAACTAGTCCGGATTCATGACGGAACGTTCGACTATAAAAGCCATTCAGCTTGTAAGTAGATTGATAGAGCAATATAGGGAGAAGAAGAGACACTTACATATGGCGCTCATTGATCTAGAGAAAGCATATGTGAAAGTCTCAAGGGAAGTTTTACGGAGATGTTTGGAGGCTAGAGGTATTCTTGTAGCTTATACTATGGTGATTAAGGACATGTATGATAGAGCTAACACGGGGTTAGGATAGTGGAAGGAGACTCGAACAACTTTCCAGTTGTGATATTATACCAAGAATTAGCTCTTAGCCCGTTTTTATATGCCTTGGCGATGGATGCACCGATACGCCACATTCAAAAGGAGATGAAATGGTGCGTATTATTTACAGATGACATAGTACTGAATGATGAGACGCGAGGTGGTGTTAACGCGAGAGTCTAAAGGTTTCAAGTTGAGCAGGACCAAGAAAGAATACTTGGAGTGCAAGTTCAGTAACGTGACTTATGAAGCGGGCATAGATGTGAGGGCGTGATACACAAGTCATCCCCAAGAAAGAAAGTTTCAAGTACCTTAGGTCGATAATTCAAGAAAATGAAAAAATTGACGAGGTTGTTACACTTTGTACTGGAGCAGGGTGGGTGAAATAGATGCTTCTATCCGGTATTTTGTGTGATAAGAATGTGCCACCACAACTTAAGGGTAAGTTCTACAGAGTGTTAGTTAGACCGACTATGTTGTATGGTTCAGAATGTTGGGCCAGTCAAGAACTCCCATGTCCAAAAGATGAAGTAGCACAAATGAGGATGTTGAGATGGATGTGAGAGCATATTAGGATTGATAAGATTAGGAAAGAAGATATTCGAAAAATGGAGAGAGAGTGGGCCCGGTAGAGGACAAGAAGCGGAAAACGAGGCTTACATGGTTAGGGCATATGAAGAGGAGAAGCACAGTTGCTCCAGTAAGGAGATATGAAAGGTTGTCCTTGGTGGGTCTGAGGAGAGGTAGAGGTAGTCCAAGGAAATATGGCTGGGTATATATCGAGTATAACTGATAGCCCGAATCGATAAAATATTATTGGGTTATTGATATCGGGTTATTAGATAAACGGTTTAGTAATAGTTTAATATTATTTGACTATTGAGTTATTGGTTTGGGTCTCAGTTTGTCTAATTGTATTAACGGTTTAACCGATAACCCAATAAACTTTATCAAAATTATAATTTTACCCATTAAGTATATAAACCACCTTATGGATTCATTCTCTCATTCTCTTAATTCTCTTAACAATTACTTTCATCTTCAGACCTTAATCCTTAGCGTAAGTTTTAAACTTTTCTGAATTTCACATCTTCATTCTTCGGCTAAGATTTTTAGATTTAAACTTTAAAAACTTAATTGTTTAGATTTTTTTTTCTATTTGTTTCTTTTGTTATAATGATTCTTTAGCATTTATAAGATTAGGATTTTATTACTCTTCTGTAAATTATGCCCACATGTATTGAATAATTAGTAAATTAAATTGTTGAATATCTTATTAGTTACTCCTACTAAATTATATCTTTGAAAATTGAGATAATTCGTTGGGATTTTCACATGCAAAGAAAGTTTTCTTTTCTAAAGTTGAAATTTAATCATTTTTTTTTGTTAAGAACAAAAATTTAGTCCCTTTCTCTTAACGGTATAATCACAATTTCTATAATAAAAACATAAAATTTTGGATATTTTTATTCTTATCGGGTAAACCGATAACTGAACCGATAAGGATGGTAACCGATACCCGATAACCAATATCTTATAATTTCGGTTATTGGTTTGGCATATTTATAAACCGATAACCGATATGCGGAACTGGTAATATTTACAACCGAACTGAATCGACCGATACTCCCCCCTACAAGGAAGTATTGGGGAGATGTGATTAGGCAGGATATGACATTGCTTTACCTTACCAAAGATATGACACTTGATAGGAGAGTGTGGAAGTCGAGAATTAGGGTAGAGGCCTAGAGGATTAATAGGTAGTCAGACTTTTTCTTTTTCATACCAGCAGTATTAGTGTTAGTCTTGTATTCTATTACAACATGTTATTTCTTTCGTTTCATTTTTTTATTATCTTGTTGTTGGTCTATCAGAAATAACCTCTCTGCGTTCTCAAGGTAGGGGTAAGGTCTGCGTACATACTACCCTCCCCAGACCCCACTTGTAAGATTATACTGAATTTATTATTGTTTTCGAGAAAATTGTTAACCTTGTGTATAAGTAGATTTCCATTAGCATTATGCAATTAAAATATCTAGCACAAAACATTTCTAATTTTCTACTGCTAATAATATGGTTATCAAAGACAATTCATTTGTTGGAACGTTCAATCAATAGATTTACCTGAGTGCTAAAGGTTAGTCAAACGGGAGGCAGCTCTAAAACTGAGGTCACCAAACACTAATACTCGATTATGAATATGGTTTGACTAAATCAGGCGACAAAATTGCTGCCTCCCAAAACTATTAAGTAACCAAACACTGATATTAGTTATGAATATGGTTTGATCAAATCAGGCAACACAATCGCCTGTATATTTTTGGTACTAGAAAAAACTGTTCCTGTAATGAGGTTTTAAGACGACGATTTTTGGTAAGTATTTATTTTATGCTGGTCAATTTGAAGATGAAAAACGAGAAATTAGCATCCCACTATGTGGATATTCCTTGATACATAAGATATTAACAGAAGGTCCATACAGAAATCATGCAAGATTGAACAAAAATTACAAAGTCTGTACAACTTCAGCTCTACAAAGATAAGGCCAACAAATAAATGTATTTGGAGAGGTGGATTGCTGTACAAATTTATAATACAGCTTCAAGAACATTTTCCTCTTCTTGGAGAATAAATATTTAGCAAGAGAACAAAGTGTCCGCTCTTTTTAACTTATAGAACCACCATCAACCGACTCCCTGTATTCACAATCCCAGTTTCTCTGTAGACAATGCTTTGGATTTGCAGATAGGACAAGTATTCTTCACAACCAACCATTTCTTTACGCACTCTTCATGACACTCGTGCCTGCACTCAAGAATGCCAATCTTTTCTTGGTCGCCATAATCAGTCTGCAATAACGTGTTTAAACATATGCAGGCCGTTAGAGCTATCTCAAAGAAACGGGATACAGCTCCACTGGAAAGTAAAGCTTGGCAAATTAAATATCATATAATTGTATAATAATCATGCAGAAGCAAATAAGATGCAATCTTCAAAGAATGTACAAGGATATCATATGACCACAACTTAGAAGCCGAGGCAGCACTGTACCAGGCGGACAACCTAAAGTTTATCTCATTCCCATGATAAGGAACCCTTATAAAGATTCACAACAATGTTTGGATGAATTTAAGATTTCCGAAGAGAATGGCAACATAAACATTAAGCAGAGTTCTGTAAGAATAAGTCAAATAAGGAAATTTTTAAAAATATATAAATATAACAAGTACATAGCATCAATTCGAATTTTATAGAAACTATAGGTCACAAATTGACTAGACCCCTAACAAAAATCTTAATAATCTTATATCGAATATAAGCCCGCAAAGGGGTAATACCTGGCATATGACACAGAAATCAGTTTCGTGATCTAAACATGTAGCACTTTCCAGAGCGCAAGGAGTCTCGGAAGACAAAAATATTCTCGTTTTCAAATTGCTAACAATGGCTTCCTCTGATAAACCAGTTGTCACGTCGCCAATTTGCTCCCCCAGTGCAAGAAGTTCCTGGATAGGATTTTACATTGAAGGATAAGTTAGCCGAAGTTATGGCAGATAATTGACCGAGGATTACCACAGCTTTTACTCATCAACCATCATGGAAAATATGTGATGGTGCATGCACTTAACCTACAATCTTTCTCACCTCATAAGACATGTGATCTATGTCCAAACGCATATCTCTGTGCTGATCAACAGCATCACCAACTTCATGGTACCCTGGAACATCCAGCATTGCCACTTCCTAGTAAAATCACCAACGAAAGAGATACCCATCAACATCCAATCCCATTACTTTAACTGAACGAAACAACAATACAACAAAGAGAATGAGAAGAGCCGGTCAAATGGAACAAATTTTACATTTTCTGGCAAAACTCTCATGTCAGGGAGGTTGCGCTGTTGAGCATTTGTTTCAAGTATGAATTCCCTTCGACGAGGTCTGTAAAACCTAAAGCCAGTCGGTGGAAAGGGTCTGATATATCTAGACCCTCCCTCTACAACACCTTGGAATGGATTATTAGTGCTATTGGACGAACTATTTCGTAGGTTTCTGCGTGAAGATGATGTCACCTGCGGAGAGAAACTCATACTGCAGCCTCCCACACATTGCGGATTAGGTGGCAGATGATGATGGTTGGGTGGTCCGTGAGGAATGGGTGGATGCAGAAAACTAGTCAAACCTCCGTTGCTGGCAGTTACTTGATAACCTTGCACACCCATGTTTCCAGCATCTATACAGCCACCTAAAGTAATAGATAAAAAGCAGAAGAAAGATGCAATCAGTTAATGAAGTTGACTTCTAGTACTTGGAATAAAGATCATGAATTGCTGCTGATAATTTGAGAAAAGGGAAAAACAAAGGCTTTCCTGGATTATTAAAAAGAGAAGCGAGACAAACAATCGGTTATAAAAGCTAACTTTTAGAACTTGGAATAAGAGAGACAAATAATGCTATGAAAATGGATAAAGGAAAGAACAAGACGTGTTTCCAGTGGATTGTCCCTTTTAAACATGTAAGAAGAAAGAAAACAACTGAAGATGCATTGCTAAACTTGGCAGCATGCTAATAGCTCATAAGAAAACAAGTCTTGGAAGAACAAGGACTTTGTCGAAAACTTTAATGAAGGGGAGAAGATAACCTATCAAACAACAAAGTAGGCTGAAGTAGGTACTCAAAACTCATAAAAGTGTGTTAAAAAAAGGGAAGGAGTAATTACCGGGTGGATATGGTAAAGAAGCAGCCTGATTCCAGGCCCAAGTTTCAGCCTCACCATCACCACTATTGAAAGGCAGATCCAACCAAGGATTGCCAGGACACTGATAGGCTTGGCCAACATAGTCTCCTTGAAGCAGGTGATTGTTGTTGTTTTGCGATACAGTATCTCGACCACTAGCAGATCTGTTCCTACCACTTCTCTGTACTCCATCTTCAATGAACGATGGTGACTCATTCCCTCCATACGCGCATGGAGTAAATGATACAGTATCCGTCAAAGAAACATCAGATTCACGTGCTCTTGTGATCACTGGGACGACGGAAGTACTAGGCCCCACCAAAGCAGAATGATTCTTTTGCTTAAATGAGCCTCTGACACTGTCTATATAAGGATCATTCCTACCAAAACTGTCTGCACTAATTCCAAGGATGCTATGAGTGCTTGAGAATGGACGCCGATCATGTAACCCATGATTTACTGGAACTGGAAAGTCTGTCGATGCAGATGGAATAGCCACGTAAGGGTTATAGTGATTTGATGATGTTGCAATCGCTGCGTCAATGTTGGTGGCAGGATGGCGTGGTTGAACCCCATTGGACGATGACATCCCATAAAGTAAACCGCCTTCTCGAGGGTCTGGTAGATGGCGCAAATAGAAATTACCACTGTTTCCTAGAGCTGGTACTATAGTGTGGACATTTGGATGTGGAAAAGCTGTAAAGCTCCCGTACAACACACAAGGCTCCGGACGGATATACTCTTGACTCCGCTGATCTGCTCCCAAATCAATTATGTGATTACTGTATGACATACTCCTTTGCCCCATGACGTCGAGTACAATGTCGTGGATAATGCCTGGTCAGAGAAGAATAACCTGTCATACATCCCAATACATACATCGACTAAGAGACCTCATTAATTCAGAGTTTGCTTCTGTAACACAATCCATAATAGACATTAAACCAAGTAACACAGAGCCAGACACTATCAATTTTTTCTTAATATGCAGCTATTACATTTGGTAAAGAACAACCAGACCATGGAGAAAGGGCAGCGGGAATTAACTGAAGCGAATATGGCACGTGGATAGACATCAAGCTACTATTCCAGTTTTAAGAACCGCGATTTCACTTGCCATGAAAGGAGTATCTTCAAGATGGAAAACTATCTTTCCCTCTTTTCTTTTACTTTAGGAAGGGGGGAGGGGGAAGAGAAAAAGAAGATCCACTCCCGTCATTGAAAGACAGTAATCCAACCATCCATATTCAGGTCAAGCAAACTGGCTCTGGGAGAGAGATCAATTGATGCAGTAAAACACAAAAATGAGAGGATCTACTACCCCAACTTAACCTCTCTCCGCAAAATCAAGTACAACACCGCTTCTATGGATGCTTAAGAGAAGCTGAGGTAAAAGAGCCACATTTTCAGCTTGTTGAAAACAGAATCCAAATTCCGGTGGTAGATACACAGGACAGCTACTCAGGTACCCACTGCCACAAAGATCAATACTTACAACCTGATACAAATGGAGAAAAAGAATGATGGCGAGGAAAAGAAAGTGGTGAGGAGAGAGAGGGTTAAACGTGGTTATGGAAATTTCATGGGTGAAGGTGGTGAGTGAGCACCGATAAAGTGATATGCATCGCGAATCTGATTAAATCTTAAAGTAGCTAAATTACGCAACTTCCCTAGTATAAAATGGGTGGAAGGCAGAAAGCAAAGGCACAAGAAGATGTGCAAAATGCACCTAATGAGCAGAAGCAATCGTTTGTCAGAGAAGGAATTTAGTTCATTAGAGCAATTAGGTTGTTTCTGTTGCAATAGTAAACCATTAGACTCTAATACTAGAGATAGAATAAAATATGAACGTCTGAAAGCTTTGGCCGAGGGGAGAAGTATACCTAGTCCTAGTCAGGGTGACCCTAGTACCGGTTCAAATTAATTTCAACCAGGAATTAATACTGTTACCGGTAGTATTTTATATTATGATCCAAAAAAAGATCGGGAAGAATTGACNAGCTTTGGCCGAGGGGAGAAGTATACCTAGTCCTAGTCAGGGTGACCCTAGTACCGGTTCAAATCAATTTCAACCAGGAATTAACAGTTACTGGCGGTATTTTATATTATGATCCAAAATAAGATCGGGAAGAATTAACAAAAATGGTAACTGTTATGTGCTTACCCTATAGTTTTCCTTCTGACCCTTCGTTTGTGCATTATATTAGAAAAGTTTTTAATTCTACTTATAAAGGTTTTCCTCGCACAACCGTAAAGAGCGATATTTATAAATATAAGCATGAATATGAACAATATTTGCGCTATTTATTTACTCATATAAATTATCGTGTTGCTATTACAACTGATATTGGTAGAAGTGGCAATGATTGTGATTACCTTACTGTTACTAGTCAGATTGATGAGGAATGGATAATGTAAAAGCACATAATTGCTTATAGAATAATTAATTCACGTCATACATGACAGTTTATTACTAGCACAATTACAGATATTTGTAGATATTTTTGCATTAGTGATAAAATAATGCCGGTTTTAATGGATAATGCTACTAATAACACAAATGCTATAGACTTACTTACCACTACGCTAAATCCTGCATTTAGTAATATTTTTCATGTTAGATGTATTTATCATATTTACCATTTAATTATGGGTGATGATATAGAATTTTAAATATTGAAATCGAAAAGGTTAAAATGGCTATTAACTGGCTTTTTATTCAAACTGTAGAAGTAGACTTAGAGAATATTATAAAAGATATGATGAATTTGGCCTAAGAGAAAGAAAGGTTCCTAAACCTTGTCTGCCTAGATGGAATTACATGTATGAAAGTTTGGTTGTTGCATATGAATATAGAAACCCCATAAACTCAACGTTTAATGCACATGTAAGTGATGATGATCAACATCTTACGAATGGGGATTGGGCTAATGTTAAAATGCTTATTGATTTTTTAGAAAAATTTCATATTACTACAAATAAATTTTCTCGGCAATATTATCCTATTTTTTTTTTGGCAATATTATCCTACTATTTCTAACTGTTTAGTTTATATTGCAGAACTTGCAAATTTGTTTACTCATTTTTCAGAGGGTGGAAAAATTTATAAACTTGCTATTGATTCTATGAGAAAAAAGTTTAAAAAATATTTTTCGCCTATTCCCCCTATTTATGGTGTTGCTGCTTTGTTAAATCCTTGTATGAAATTAGCAGGTCCTCAATTTTGGTATGAAATTATTTATAATGGTTTAGCACTTGAAGATGCTGAGTTAGCTGGACTTCCGGAAGCAATAGCCTCAATTAGAATAAATGCTCAAACTATTTATAATGCTTATCAAGTTGCATTAAATCATGTTAGACCAAATGTTCCAACTCTTTCTTCTTTTGATTCTCAATCATCTAAAAAAGCTGCGGGAGTAAGAGCACTTAGTGCCTGGGCAGGGTTTAGGGGTTCTCAAGATTCTAGTAGTAATGATTTTTCACAACTAAATGAGCTTGAAGTTTATTTGGCGCAGCAAATTGAGAAAGTGAATCCCCACGGCTCCTTTAATCTTTTGTAATGGTGGAAAGACAAAAAAAAATACTTTCCGGTTCTTTCAAGGATGACCCGAGATATTTTAACTATTCAAGTTTCAACAGTGGCATTAGAGAGTGCTTTCAGTCAAGCAAGACTTCAACTTGGTGATTATAGAGTGTCTATGAGGGAGAGCTTGGAAAAATCAGTACTTTTCAGAGATTGGATCCGTTCGAAAAAAAGAAATTTTGGACTTGCTGAATCACAACCAGAGGAAGACGAAGCTTACAAAGAACTGCTAGCTGAACTTGCGGAGGATGCTGCTTCGCCCGATAATGGAAGCTGTGATGACCAGGCTATTTTTCCGCTACCACCAATGAAAATTTCTCCGAACCTTGAAGGATTTATGAAGTTTGTAATAGATACCATATAACTTGTATGAACAAAAATTAGTATGTATTATGTAACTTGTATTTTAGCATATCTTGATTAGTTTCTTTTTCTTCCCAATGGTAGTATTAGCACCTTGTTGTGCTCATTCCATAGGGGGGAGGAAGACTAAGAAAGATATTACCATATTTTTTTAATGTTATAATAAAATTACAAGGCATTGCTTTGAATATCTCTTTACAATATTTTTATCTTTAAATTTTGAATTAAAAAGTTTAGGTCACAATTCTGTGAATTAAAAAGTTTAGGTCACAATTCTATAATAAAATTTACAAGGCATTGCCTTAGATATATATATATTTTTTACATCTTTTTGTCTCTAATTTCAATTCTAATATTTTTTTAAAAAAAAAATATTTTAGCCGTTGGGCCCACTTAGCTCATTTAGCCCGCGGGTCCGGCCTCGTTTAGCTTGGGACCATGAGTTCATGGGCCTGGTCCCGAGTCGGTTCCTAGAAAAAGATCATTTGGCCCGTTTAGTTAGGGACCAGACCGAGACCTTTTGGACAGGCCCACTTGGCCCGTGTAGGGCCCGGACCGGCCCACATGCCACCCATAATCAAGCATATATTTTTACTTTCAAATAACACAAAGTTTCCAAGTAAGCGCACTTGGTTCAATTCTTATTATGATCATGCCATGAGGAAGTTTCTCGTAAATCATTTAACCTTAACACAAATGCTTTTTCTTTATATGGGCAATGACTGTAACTACTTTTCGATGCTTGCTGCACGTGATCAAGGATAATATTTATTTAAATATTAAGAAAAAACAAAATAATCTTGTATGACCTTTTAAATTTGAATAGAATGAAAGACCCTACAAATATATTGTATCTTTTATTTATGACTCTATATTATATTTATCATCTTATGTGAAACTGATCATATAATTAAAATAATATTTGCAACTTGTCATAAGATCATACTATATTATAAGTATGAAGATCTAAGTGAAATGTTGAAATACCAAAATACCTATATAAAGTTAAACTATATTTTTGCCCTTTAGTTAAGCAATAACATTTTTATACAAAAATATAAATACACGTACAATAGAGTACTAACAATAAATAAAGCTAAAACTTGACTAGAATGCTCCTTACCTATTTGTGTTAGCCATTATGTACTTGACTAGAATGCTCGAGACTTTGTAGGTAAAGCCAAACTTTCACTATCATCCTAAGTGTGAGAAATTGAAGATAGTCCAATTGGGGTTTGCAGATGATGTCTTGTTGTTTTGCATAGGAGATGTCATATATGTGGGTATGCTATATGAATGCTTTGATACCTTCTCCAAATCATCGGGCTTGAAAGCTAATGTGAGTAAGAGCTCTATCTATTTTGGAGGGGTGAATTGTAATGACCAACAACAGATCTTAAGTGAGCTAAAGTTCTCCGAGGGTGAATTTTCTTTTAAGTACCTGAGAGTTCCTCTAAGTACTAAGAGGATATCTGTTTTACAATGCCAGCCACTGATAGAGAAAATCCTAGGCAGAATTAAGACCTAGACTGCCAGATACCTCTCATATGTAGGAAGACTACAACTGACCAAAAATATATTGTTCTCTATACAGATATTATGGTCCCAGATTTTTGTATTACCAAAGAAGATCCTAAAGAGGATAGAAGCTACATGCTGAAACTATCTCTGGACAAATGGGTCAAAAAGTTCAAGCAAGACTCTACTATCATGGGAGAAGGCCTTTTTACCAAAAACAGATGAAGGATTCAATATTCTGGATGTATATACTTGGATCAAGGCTGCCATCTGCAAACTATTATGGAATCTTAGCAAAAAGAAGGATAGATTGTGGGTCCAATAGTTGCATATGTACTATGGGAAGTAGCAGCCAATATGGATCAAGGCACCCTAGTGTAACGACCCGACCAGTCAAAGTAATAGCCCCGATCCCCTATTTACTGTTTCACATGCATATTTTTTTGCTTATGTGACTTGCCGGGAGGTCTTGTTTTTGGTTTTGAAGTATTTTGGGACACTTAATCCCTAAAACGGGAGACTAAGTCTTAGGATTTTTGAACGTAGTCGGAACTATATGAAGACGACTTCGGAATGGAGTTTTATCGGTTATGTTAGCTCCGTTGGGTATTTTGGACTTAGGAGCGTGTCCAGATTGCATTTTGGAGGTCCGTAGCCCATTTAGGCTTGAAATGGCGAAATTCAAATTTTTGGAGATTTGGACCGGTAGTAGAAATTTTGATATTGGGGTCGGATTCCGATTCCGAAAGTTGGAGTAGGTCCATAATATTGAATATGACTTTTGTGTAAAATTTGGGGTCAATCAGATGTGGTTTGGTTAGTTTCAGCATCGATCGTTGAATTTGAAAGTTTCACGTTCTTTAGGTTTGAATCGGAGGATGATTTATGATTTTAGTGTTGTTTGATGTGGTTTGAGTGCTCAAATGAGTTCGTATGGTATTTTAAGATTGGCTGGTATATTTGATCGAGGTCCCGGGGGGCCTCGAGTTAGTTTCGGGTGCTTAACGGGTGAAAGCTTGGACTTAGAAGAATTTCTGACATGCTGGTTTCTGGTATTTTTGCACATGCGGTGGGAAGTCCGCAGGTGTGGCCCCGCAAAATCGAGGCTGGGATTGCAGTAGTCGTAGATGCGACGAGTGAACCACAGGAGTGGAGCCGCATCTGCGAAAGAGCAGTCGCAGATGCGGAGATGAGAATGACCCAAGGTTCCGCAGAAGCGGACGAGTAGATGCAGAAGCACATCCGCAGATGTAGACTTAGGCGTGCAGGTGCAGACTCTGGAGTTTTAATGAAAACTCGTAGGTGCGAAGTCCTAGCCGTAGAAGTAGCACCGCATGTGCGATGATCAAG